GTCCCAAGAATCATAGAATGAAGGTGGCTGGTTCAATTGGGCACACCGGGTTGTTGTCTCTTCTTCTTGAGCTAACCGGGATATTGCGAAATCATAGATACGATTGAGCTTCTCGTTGAACGCATGGGACTCATAATATTGCACGACCGGGAGGGGGTCCCAGTACTGCTCGGAAGTGTAGGGATAAGATTGAACGTGGTACCCGGTGTAGTAGCTCGGCTCGTGGACCCAAGATTGGGTGTGCGAATAAGGGAGCACACGGTTGTAGCTCATACTGCCTGCACACCAAAGCAGAACAACCACTCGTAGCCACGAAAAGACAAGAAGAAAAAAAAAACAGAAACAAGAAGGACTAAAAGAAAAACAAATATGCACAAAAGAGAGAACAAAAAATACGAAAATCAAGAAAATAAGAGAAACAAGAAAAATAAAATCAATACCAAGACCAAATATCCTACTTGCCTTCCCCAGCAACGGCGCCAAATTTGTTGTGTACAAATTATTCTTTTTACCGAGTACCGAATCGAAAGAATCGTTTCCCGGGTCGATCTCACGAGGAAGGCTGTTCGGAATTTAGCTTTGATATTGATAACACATAAAAGCAAATAAAATCCTAAACATACTAATCAGATAAGGGGATTGAATAATTATCAAACTATGAAATAATAAAAAGCAATAATCTACCTAAAAATATAAACGAAATAAAGATGAAGAAACTAGGGAGTCAGGGGATCATTAATTCAAGTTCTAGCAAAGTCGGGCTATCAATTGTTCAGTTCGAGATTGACACTCTCGCCTATACATCTAGCGGTTCGCTCCCAATAACTCTTCGTAACAAGGGATTGAACATAGACGAATAAGTTCGAGCACACGACACAGGCGAATTATCCCAGTCTCAATAACTTTTCGTAACAAGGGGCGGGTCATCGACAAGAGCGTATTTCAATCCAAAACATATAGACTATTCAGTTACGAAATTATCTACCTCATGTGAGCCTATTTCTACGACTTCTTCCCTTTTGGTTCTGAAAGCCGCTAAGTCAATTAGAAGATGTTTAATCAACTAATCATATAGAATTGACAAACCCTAACTCGACAAATTCACATCCAACTGTCACCATTAGCAAGATCGAAATGTCACTTTTCGATTATATCAATCTATCGAACACAAATTTATCAATTCCTAATCAATTCAACACACACAAGCATGAACAATTCAAAGCCCGACAAATGCACGTTAAACAAGAACAATAATCCTCTATCCCTAGAAATAAGATTAGCTACGTAATTCAACACAATTAATCATTCTCCTCAAATTAACCATTTTCATGAATTAATAAAAAGAGAGAAGAACTTACGATTAATCTCAAATCCACATGTTGAATGAGTTACAAGCTTAATCTTAACGAAGAAAAAGAATTAAAATGAAAAATAAAGATGAAAAGAAAGGTGAAAGATGAAGAAGAAGAGAAGAAGGAGAAGGATCGTGGTGTTTTTCGGGACCTAGGGTTTTACCACCGGTCGAGAGGTCCCTTTTTCGAGTGTCGAACGCGTTATTTATATTAACAGGAGGGCTCGACGTGGAAAAGAACATGTGCCACGGCGCGGCTTCGCCACGGCGTGACGCAAGGAAATCTGGCCTCTGTCGACCTCGTGCTAGTGGCGCGGCGTGGGAGAAGGGGCGCATTGCGGCGCGAGGAACTCATCTGTCGCGGCGTGGAGTCTGACGCGGCGTAGCGCTGAAAGATCTGGGCTCTGACGGGGTCGTGGCGGCTGCGCGGTGCGATGGGCGCTCTTGCCGCGGCGTGGGAGTGCTTCACGGCGCGGAGGGAGCTTGTGTCGTGCCGCGGAGGTGTTGCCGCGCCGCGGCGCGCGGGACTGCTGGCACACTTCGCTTCTCGAGCTCGTTTGGACTCGTCCAAACTCGGAATTCGATTCTGTTTTTTTCTACGCGTCGCTAACGAGCTCCTCTTTCTAATGGTGTCAGCTTTCCCAAAAGATTCTCGAAAACCTGTTCTACCAGGATCTCCAAACTACATACCAAAAACGAAAAGAGAACAGAAAAAAAACCAAAAAACAAACGAAAAACTCCGCAACACTCAAATGAACACAAAACACATAATAAATGACAAAAAGATCTTAAAACCACCTAAGCGACTCGATACATGGGAAAAAACGGTAAAATAATGACTAAAAACGACACAAAAATGGAACAAACATATATCCCATCATTTATTATTACAATTATCACTGAATACTGGTTCCCCTTGCATCACGCGGGTTATACTCTAGTTTCAGTTAGCCCTACGTGATTGTTTACAACGATTTCACGTGTCTATCTATCTTCAGTGAGTCGTGACAGATGAATTTCATTAAGTGATGCTTATATAATACCTTTTGTTTTGTACAACGCTAATAGAATATTAGTCCCTCATATTTTTAATAAGTGTTGTTTTGATAAGTTGTACAGTAATTAAGAATCTTTTTTTGCCAACAATAACCCTCATTAATGAGGATTAGAGATAGATATTTTGAAAAAAAAATAAAGAGTGAATATGAAAAGACGTAGTGTATTTATTAGGCAAAATTACAAAAATGATACACTAAGTTGGGCGTTGTCACAAAAGAGACAATATGTTGTCCCTCACGAAAAAGATACACTTAATTGGCTTTTGCACGAAATAGATACAAATTTACAAAAACGATACAGTAAGTGTATCATTTATATGTCTGACTTTGGATTGTTTATGCCTGACTTAGTGTATCGTTTTTGTAAATTTGTATATTTTTCGTGCAAAAAGACAACTAAGTGTATCTTTTCCGTGAGGGACAATATATTGTCTCTTTTGTTGACAACGCCCAACGTAGTGTATCATTTTTGTAATTTTGCCGTATTATTAGCTAGACGAGAATAATAATGGAGAAATATGTAGAAAAAATCCAAAACGGTCATTTATAATAATAAAACAAATAGGATGGATGTTTCTATTCAAGATACCAACAATAATATTTATGACCTAAGTTGATCGACGAGGATTGTAAACAAATTGGTCGTTGAAAGTCAGAAAATGTAGCCCCAAAAAATATCTTGTTAAAATTATGACCTACATACAACCTTGTCCACATCTTCAGGCCACATGAATAATATAATTTCTTAACATAGAATCTAAAGCTGCAAAGAAAATTACCCTTTTGTCCTCACGATATCACATTCTGCATCCCTATTGGCCCCAAACATTTACACATCACACAATATTCTCAAAGCCAACATCTTCCTCATATACCCTCCGCCAAATATCATCTCACATTCAATGATATCACTGGGCACGCCTTGTAATGACATGTCTCTCCCTCACTTTTAGCTAATTATATTAAAAAAAAATAATAAAATAAATTAAAGAAGAATCACCAATTAGAGTGTTTTTAGCATACATATCTAGGGCAAGGTATTCTTTAATGTTTTAAAAGTGGTTAGGTGGGGGTAAAAGAAAAAATTAATAAATTTATTTATATATATAACATTATAATTGTAAATAATTTATAAGATATATTGTGTAAAATATATTAATTAATATGCTCAAGTGAAAGGATTATATAAAATCTAATGTATTCGTAGTTATTTTATTAATTATGATAGAATATTATAATTATTAATATTTTTAGTATATAATTAACATAAATTTCATGAATAAAATTTAAATATATTTTTTTTAAATTACGTTAATAATTTTGAAAATAATATAGGGGTGTTTAGACGCCGCCAAGATCGCCTAGGCTTGAGTAGCTTCAAAACCCCCTAGGCACTGGTCCGTGTAGGTGGGCGCCTAGGCCAACTTTTAGTATAGAGCCTCTTGGGTGTTTGTTTGTGTGTGTGGGTGTGCACGTTCGCGCACGTATGTTGATCAAGGGCACTGAAGGCATGAGAAAACTGACCTTAGAGGCAGTGTCAAAATCTCCTATAAATCTAATGGTAAGACAAATGTACTTTATAACGTAAAAACATAATTGTCGAATGTTATATTTTTGAAAAAATAATACTAAAAAAGAGTATGACATTTCATAATATATATATATATATATATATATATATATTACATTCATAAAGTACGATGAATTGAATGGACTTACATACTCAATAGACCGCTTAAATAAAAGGGACAATTTCTTTTATACTCCAACCTGAAGATATGTATATTAAATTTTTCACACCGTCTACTAATAAATATAACTATTTTCACCTCAAAAAATGGGAAGATGATTCACATAACTGCCGCATATTTAACATAGAAAGTGCAGAAGTAATTAATGTGATTTTGTTTTACTTTCGCACAACGTCATTCGCTCAATTATCAAATAATGAAATTTTGCACTTTTTGGGGGTGACAAAGTTAACTGTAAAATCTTCAGAACGAAGTGTAGATAACTGTTTCTTCTAAATAAAATTACGACATTTCATTTTACCCTGTATTAGTACCATGTATTAGTATGACGAGTTAACAATTCACTTGATTAATTTTTTAATTAATTAATTAATTAGAGTAAGATTTAACCCCCCCAAACACTTATTTCCAATTTATTTTATCCCTTAATTATATATGTTACTAATTAGTATCATGAATACCCAAGATACATACATATATGTACCTTGTAGCCTTGTACCTATATTTTATCAAAGGCAGTCCACAGATCAACCAAACCACATAAATTGGAATCACAATCCCACGAACAAAGACACGTAAACTTGTCGCATACCATACAATACAAAGCCCTCCCTAAAAACACTTTCTCTTGACGTGTAGACCAAAAACCCCATTCATTTCTCTTCACACACACACACACACACACACACACACACAATAAATTAAAGCAGCTTTTCTTGTTCCTCCTCTCTTCTTTCTTCCTATTGATAATCTCATGTAAAACTCTCAACTTCACACACACACACACACACAAAACACACACAGTTACAAAACAAACTCCTGAATCTGATTCTTTCATCCATGCAAAAGAGCACCAATATATCAGCCACCATCTCCTCAACCACCATGCCGCCTAATATTTCCCCAATGTTACTGGTCGAGGAAAAAAAAGAATCCGAAAACAACGATTCTTTTCCCGAGAGAAAAGATACCGAGTCGGCCGGTGAAAAAATTACCTCAAAACCCCATGACTCGGTGGAGCTCTCCCCGGAGTCACGGAACGAGCCATTGCCGGAGGTGTCGGAGGACAGCGGGAGGGAGAGGCTGAAGAGGCACCGGGTCGAGATGGCGGGTCGGGTCTGGATACCGGACATGTGGGGTCAGGAGGGTTTGCTAAAGGACTGGGTCGACTGCGCAGCCTTCGACGCGTCCTTGGTGAATAGCAGCATTTTGTCGGCGAGAGATTCTTTGGTGGAGGAAGGAAGGAGAGCCAACTCCACACGATTGAGAGTACATAATGGTTGTTAATTAATTTGATAACCTAGTTAATAATCCATTTTTTTTTTTTATTTGGATTTTATATGTAAAGAAATTAAAGATGAATAAAGCGAAGCGTGAGAAGGTTTGATTATTTCACTCGAAGACAATAAATATATATTTTTTTTCGTCTTATGTAGATTTAGCCTTTTCCGTGGATCGAGAAATGCTACAATCTCGTTACGAAATTATTCCGTCAGGATTTGTAACCGTTAGATCATCATATATCGTGGATAGTTGATGTAACG